GAGAGAAAAAATCCTCATCATCCCAATGCTCGCCAGGCTGCATCTGCTCTGCGTGCAAGGGTGGGTGCGTTTTAGCAGTCTCCTAGAAAGATAGGGAACTAAAAAGGTCAAACATCCTCCTAACACTCCCAGAGCTGCAGAAACAGAGACACAGAACTGAACGCAGGGGCAACTTTTTAAGAAATACCGCTAGAGCGGCACAGCCCTTGTCAAGTCCCCCGAGTGCAAATGATCTGTAGAAGAGATGCGTGCTCTACTGCAGAAAGCGCAAGGTCCCATTAGACCAAGTGGGAGGGGGCACTGGTGGACTGGCCACGTGGCTATGCCCAAGTAGGACAGGGAGGACTTGTCTTTTGGACGGTCAGGGATCTCTCAAAGCATCGGGAGATCACAGGAAGCCAAGGGTGGAAGAGGCAGTTGCAGCAGTTTGGGCAGAGGGTGCAAAGGGCAGGACTACAGGACGCAGAAGCCAAAATCTAACTAGAGTAGCACCAGCTGGGACCGTAAGTCAAGGGAATTTTAGTTGAGCTAGTTAAAAAAGAAATCAATTAAGAGATTCAAGCACACGAGTGCTAGCAAAGAAAGATGAGCTCAACATCGCCAGTCAAGCAGTGGGACTGGCAAGAGACTTTGTAGGAAGACCACATGCAGGCTGCAACGCAGAGCTTAATATTGTCACTCCCTGGTGAAACAGGTAACTTCCACTTCCACTCACTCGCAAAGCTTTCACTCTCTGCATGACTGACTTGCTTATGAGCCTTACAGCTCTCTTGGCACTTTCTGCATTCGCGTTTCCTCCACCAGCCTCCTTGGCTACTGCAGGGCTGCGTGTGTAGCTGGTGGCATCTGACACCCAACATTTATTGACTTGGTTGTTTTTTTAAACCTTGCTGCAAATCCACCTGGAGTCTCCTATTAGTGCCGACTCGTATACCTTTTTCAGAAAAGAAAGGAAAGATTTCATTACAGAAAAAGGTAACTTAAAGCCCTGGAGCTATGCTGGCTCCTAATGATATGTTAGGGGGATAACTCAACAGGGTATTTCTCTAGGTCTTGGAAGAATCTGTTCTCCAACTTCAGCTATGAGTTTATTCAACAGAAAAGCTTCTGCCTGTAGAACGACACTTAGGAATAATAACCCTAAAATGAATAAGAAACCATTGTCTGTTCACGATGTGGGATCTGAACCACAGAGTGCCATTAAACATGGAGAATTAGCTGTACGAAGCGACACCCAGCATTTCTCCAATTGAAAAAGGGTTTTGCTTTGTTTTTTTTAGTTTTTGCCTTGGCTGCTATTAAGACTCTCATTTACCAGCTGGAGCAATAAAGTGGGATTTTGTAATGCTGACTCCCCCAGCCCCCACAGAAACTCTCGTAACATAAATAGATATTAAATGCTTTAAGGGAACTCGCTTTATTTAAAAAATAATCTATAAATATAGCATGCATTAATAAGCCCTCTTAATGCTTGTTTTGTGGTTTGACAGTAAACGTAATGGCTTACAGAGAGGAGTTAAATTAATAAACCCTGACCAGTCATGTTCTATTTGCCTAAATGCGAGTGTCAATGCCAAAATTAACATTCTGGTTTCTTTTGGAGGCAGCCCTGTGTCCTGCAGCATAGCTGAATGAGTACAGTCTAGAAACCTTGGAGCAGTTCCTGTCCCCAACCTGTTATCTCTACAGAAAGCCTGATAATCCACAGAACTGGCTTTGCTGGGGGACTGGCTAGACTAGTGAGTCGCAATCAGGGTGCTGCACTGCCCTGGGTGCCTCGAGAGCCTTTCCAGGGTGCCACGCAGTGTTAGGAGTGCAAAATTGATTCCCATGAAAAATCCAGATATTTCAGCTAGAAATCCACAGCGTCAAAAACCTCCTGCTCGGCTGGGCTCCTTCTGAGCTCTTTGCAACACAAGAACTGCCTTATTCGTTTTCCAGAGGCAAAAAACAAGTGAAACCCAAGACCTGGCATTTTCCCAGGGGTGCCTTTAGACTCGAGTCATCCCACGTTAGACTCAAAAGGCCGAGAACCGCTGGGCTAAACGTACAATGAGCAGGCAGCGTGCTGCGCTCTGTGTGCCCATCTACCACCTGACTTATGTACTGATCTAGCCAAGAACAACGTTGGCCACCATCTGCCCAAACAGCGTTTCACAAGCTAGAGAAGGGTCGTTGTCCCCATTTCATGCACAGGGACAGAGAGACTGAGTGCCCCAGTGTCACTGATGGACTCTGTGGCAGACCCCAGACACCCGAGAGAAAGCGCAGTGTCTTCACTTCACGACCATCCTTACACCTCTCCCTTGGGGGTGAACTCCTGCACCCAATGAAGCCGACTGCAAAGCCCCCAATGGCTTCAAGGGAGTTCACTCTTGTTTTTTAGCACGTGAGTTTTGACCCACCGTCCCTTGCTTTGCCCCATCTGTATTTAGTGAGGTGACCATGCAACAAATAAAGCACCTCCAATCCATGCCGATGTACAGGTCTGCACTGCTGCCTGTCAAAGCCATCGTGTCAGGGAAATCCATTTTTCCGCCTAACCACTGCAAAGCCGAGGGATGTAATTCCAGGCAGGTGGGACATGGCTTTGAGAGAAGAGTTAACTTCCTGTGTGCACCGAAAGCAACACACCCTGAAAAGCAACTGAGCCATTTTGAAATGAAGGGATGGCAAAACGAAGGGATCTGTTGAAAGGACACATCTTCTAAAGAGCAAGCCAAACAAATAGAGAAAAACACAATGGAGCCCTTTGAACAGGCTCTTCCCGCAGCGTGCTAGAAGGTGAAAGAAGACAGCCAACTTGTTAAGGGAACAGATATATTAAGTTCCCCACCAGCAAATATTTTCAGGACACAATGGGCTCCCTGAAGCAGCACCTGCTACAGAAACAGCGGGTCTGTTTGAACAAAAAAAATGAATCCCCTGTTCTTCAGCGAGGTTACGTTCATCTCTTTGTCTCGTTCAGCTCTGTGCATTTCATCAATGACCAAAATACTGCCTTTTTCCCCACTTTCATGCCAGTTTGCCACTCGGATAGGTATGAGCTTGACGGCCAGGGGAAGGAAGTGACCTCTGGCATCTACATGGCTGAGGCGGCACCAGCACCAGAAATGCAACTTTCTGCCATCCCGCTTCCCCTCCGTGTCTCGGCCAGTCTGGAAGGACCCCGTGACAGGGCCATTCGGTGCTCACAGACACATTAGCCACCGTCTCTGCTGAGCAAGGAGCCAATCCATGCCATTTCTCTGGAGTTTTGTGAACTCCTTTCAACAAAGCCTGAATTTTTAAGCTGCCAAGCAGTTTAACAGCTTTCAGCCACCAAATCCCCATCTCTGATGCAATCTAGCAACTCGGAAATGAAAACCTACTCCTGCTATGCTCCCATTCTCCCTGAAGGATTGGAGTATGGTCATGAAGTACAACTCCACCAGCCTAGCAGAGGTGCTGGCACAACCACCTGTTCTGCATGCGAGACACCCCACTGCCACCCCTCAGGGTTTGGCTTGACGCTGAAGAATCATGCTTGCAAATTTGCAAAGGGTTTGTCAGGCTTTTTGATGGTGTAGGAGGCAGATATTTGCATGACTTAGCAACCAGAGGGGAAAGATCAAACAAAAGTCCCTAAAAGTCTTAGGGCCAGATCCTTTGTCGCAAGTCAGGGTGGCTCCAGGGCCACAGATACTCCAGTTTAACACTAATTGAGAGCCTGCCTGGCAGAGAGGAACCTTATGAAGAAGCTGCCGTCCTGTACTCCATGTTTGCGAAACAGCTGGAAGCCTGTGGGAGCACAGGAAGTGTCGTACCAGGCCAGACCACAGGTCTGAAACCCTCCCTCTGAATTCTCTGCTCCATAAAGACGGGAGGAAGAGAAGACCCAAGATAAGCAAAACATTATTTCCAAGGAAAAGGAGTTCAGAATTTTCCAAGCAGCGCACAGGGGCTCGGGGGACACCAAGCACCTGAAACGGAGGCTGCCTATACAGCTGCTCAGGAGTGGGAGGAAGCATTTTAATTAGAGCGGTTCCCGGAGAGCTGCTCTAACTAAAACACCTTGTCATCATGTGTATTAAGCCCCAGCACATTTCAAAATGGCTGCAGGACACTTTAGCTAAAGCTCGTTTGACGAGGTTTAAATACAGCGCCCCGTGGCCATTTTGAAACGCGCGGGGGCTCAGTACATGTGACGGTGAGGCAGCGCTGGAGCGTTCTGGTTAGAAGGTGGACAAGCACGTCTGAATCCCTAAGTCATGGGACCGTCTATTACCCCCGAAGCTACTGGTAAGGAAAAAGGGTGTTGTTCGCCGTGCCGGTCTTACTGAATTACTCAGTGGTGCCCAAAATGAGGGAATTTTAAGTTCTTTCACAAACAGTTATGCCACATCCTTTGCCCAAGCACAACTTCAGGGTGTTATACACATTTACAGGCATGTGGGCACCTCTTACTAAGAGGGTTTTTGCAAGCAGCTTGCATGAGAAAGTCAGACCCAACTGGAGGGGGGTTCTGAGGCTAAAAGCACCAGCACAATGACTTGCTATCACAGCAGAGCCATCTGACCAGTAGCAGCTTATTCCAGTTATCAGATGGACAGAAGAGCATTTAGGGAAGCCATATACTGCAGACACATGCAGCTCCTGAGTTTCCAGCTGCTGGGAAGATAGCAATACCAAAGCAGGGGTGGAGACACTAGGCTCGGGGATGCCTGTTCAGAACGAGAACAGTTCAACCTGGAGCAGGATCTAAAAGCAGATTGATTTTTATCGGGCCAGAGAAGTTCAGGACTAAACCCTCATGTTCACATCTGCCGCTATGGTCCAGGCGAGATCCAAACACAGGCCCAGGTGTGGCTACGCAGACTCAGCTCAAATGCTTGCAAATGGGCAGCCAAGTCAATGCCAAACCGGAGATGCAGTTACCCTGAACTCAGCCCCAGGCTCAATCTACGCTGGATCTGAGTCTGGACTCTCAGACACATCCTGCGGAGGAATCGAATACGTACCATGTTCATAACGGTGAGGATGAATCTTTGGGCTGCCTCAGCACCATGGTATTGGACCATGTTGGCATCAGCCACTACCAGGGTCTCTACCGTATACTCATTGGTGAGTCGAATGGCATTTCTTCGCTCTCTCCAGTCATTTACTGATTTTATCTTCTTTTGCCTCTTCTTTTCTAAAAAAATAAAGTACATATTAAACAATACTCCAGACCTAACAGGCAGATCCACAGCGACACATTATGCTGCACGGTAGCTAAAATTCCCCTGAAATTTTGGACAAGGAGTTCCCCTGTGACTTTCCCTTTCAAGGAACCCCTCAGGAGTTTACTTTATGAATATATGCCTTACCAGCTGTATGCATTTGCACGAGACAATTTGAATAGATTGAAAATGTGATGGAAAGAACAACCCAAATCCAGAGAGACAGGATTAAGAAAGGCAGAAAATGAGCGGTGGCTGAACCAAGAAAACACAGAAATCCTGTTTGCTCCGCTCACGTGGACAGATATGAGTGTAAACTCAGGACAACCCGCTGAAGAAAGGGCAGACGGGCCAGGTTCCTTGGGGACACGCTGGATCCTGGAGCTACACTACAACTGCAGGATGACATACAATCTGGGGGATGCGTCCGTTCCTTCTAGCCTCTGAAGCCTTTTCTTAGCCAAAGCAGTTGTAAGAGATTCCTGCGGTCGGTATTTTGATTGGCTGCACTTTAAAAACGCATATCACATTAAATGGCACTTAGCCACTGGAGCTGATTACCAACAGATGTGGTAGGTTCTCCATCACTGAGCGCCTCTAAACGAAGCAATTAAAAATAGGTGTCTTCCTAAGAAAACAGGCGAGTCACTGGGTTAAATGTTTTGCTGAAATCTATGGCCCAAGGTGAGCAGAATGGGTAGATTAGAGGATTGCGACGGTCCTTACCGGCCTTAAATCCTATTAACTTAAGTCTGTAAACAGATGTTTCATCCGACCCCGGACACAGAGAGCGCTCGGACCGATCGGCCTGTCCCTGGAATGAGCTAAAACAACTGTACAGACATACAAAAGGCTGTCCCAGAAAAAAAAAGCATTAGTATGTCTTACTTCAGAGGGACTTGGATGTGGATGTGTATGTCTGTACACCAAAAGGCTATCTCCTGGGACAACCATGATGTCTGTTCACAGCCTAAGAAAGCAGGAACGATTTTAGGGAATCCAGAAATGCAGCAGCAACTGGCTACTGCATAGGGAGAAAATAAATCCCACCTGGTGTGAACATAATCACTGCACCAAGGACATTAAAGCACAGAACAAAGGACAAACATACTAGCGACCTGCTCCCTTGCCAGCTGAGAAGTAGAGCAACCCCCACAGCTTAGAGACCGGAGCATATAATGCCTGAAGGGTAGAAGAGCAGGAGAGAACTGAAGCAGAGATCGGACATTAAAGCAGTACTCCTAATTACAGTGAGGAAAGCATTCATGTCTTCATCTGCAAAATGAGTAGCTGGAAACAACTGGTTTTGCGATTACGGGCCAAATCTCAGCATTCAGGGAAATCAGACGTGGCTCGCTGCTAAAGGTGCTAATTGCTAGGGGGAAAACCCTGCAGCTCATACGCGTGTTCAGTGCTTCTCCTGGGAAAGGCAAGACGACTTGGGGGATGAAGGCAGCATGGTCCCTCCGCATGAACGTGGCTGAGGCCATTCTTATGTTCGATGTAAAAGGGGTGTGCCGCAGAGATGCTACGTGATGATCAGGTGGGCATCTTCTTATTTCATGCTGCAAACGAACACAAGAGCAAGGTCCTTCTTTCCCAGGCTGCCCTTCCAAAGCAGAGCCTTTCTAGTCCGTTATTAAGTGCAGCAGATTTCCTCTAAGCACCTTCATATTGCAATGGGCAGGTCTCAGTTTACGATGTTTATGCTATGATCCTGGTTTTCCACAGCCTGTTTGCTAGCTCTCTTACCTAACGCAGCTTGCATTACCGCAAGCTCCCAGGCTGGTAAAGGCGCTCGCATCTAGACCGTCCGGTAGCGCCGAACGAATTGTTTTTATTCAGGCTGTCGGACGCCAGCGGTTGTAAGTCACCTCGTACCCACCTGAGCCCGACGCCGGGACTCCTGTTCATTCATACGCTCAGCCCGTCTCGGCAACGTGCACAGTCGCGCACGTCCGTCCCATCCACTTTCACAACTGTCTGGCAGTCGTTCCAGGATTGCTTTGCTTATGCTTTTGTGCCCGAGGCTTTAACTGTCAGTGCTTGGGATGTATTTTTACACTGAGAAAACGGCCATGAAATTCAATTTTTTTTTTCAACCTGCTTTGAAAACCTCCTCCTGGGGAAAACACGCTTGACAGCGGCCCCTGCCCAAGCCAGAAAGGATTCAGTCCATCTCGGGGGTGGCCCCACAGAACGGGATCTCCGTGCTGGACGACAAGGAGGAAAAGGGCCCCTCGGACGGGCGCAGCTCGGGGGGCTGTAGGGGGAGGCCGGTCCTCACAAAGCCGCCTTCAGAGCTGCAGAGATGGACGGGCTGGAGCGCTGGGGGATGAAATAAAAGAAATCGGAGCGCCTGTGAAGGCCAGGCAGGAGGAAGGCCGAACGCACCTTCGCTTTGCCAACTGTGAAATGGAGATGACTTCACTCGAGCGCCGTGAATGGGCTCCTCTGTTCTCTCTGTCCATCCCCAGGGTCACTCAGCTTAAGCTGCAGCAGTTTTATGGTTATTATTACAATACATACAGTGGAGCACAGGAGATTTCTTCCATCAAAACATTTAATCAAGCTAGCGTTCGTCGACTTTTCTGACCCGGCAGCAAGCCGCTTCCGGGGAAGCGACGGCCTTGGCCCAGAAGAGCCGACGGTCTGGCCACCCTCGAGACGAATCCTCACCTGGTGCAAGCCGGCCCAGCTCCACTCATTTCAGAGCTGAAATGACAACCTGGCCCATCATCTTTATCATTCAAAGGAGGGGAGCTCTCATGCCATGTTTATAGGGGCTGCTCTTACACAAACACATGCCAGCTTTGGAAGGTGTTGCTATGAATAACCCGTGAAGCAGTGCAGGCCAGAATAAAAAGCAAAGAGGTTTGCATGCGCCTCCTAAAATACAGCAGAGGCAACACACGCCGCAGACAGGGCACAACGTGCATCGGGTTGGATTCGTGGACCCGACGGGCACCAGGGACAGTTGTGATCACAGCCTGACCTCCATTAACTACAGCATCAAGCACAAGGTTGCCAGAGGGTTCCTGAAACGAGACCGCATTTAAAAGGACGGAGGTCCCGAGACCGCGAGATTGCAAGCGTGCATTCAGGGGAAAACCGCCAAGGTCAGAAAGCCAAGATTTCTTTTCAGGCTGATGGGCTGGCAATAAGTCTTGACAGTTTTATCTCTGGAATTAGAAACACTCCCCCACGCACAGCTGAGAAGTGACGGGCTCATCTTTCACCCAGTGCAAGACAGGACGGAGGAGACAAAGAAAGAAATCCTTGTCGTTTCTGTACACCTGGAATCTACCTGTCTGGACACCAGGCACCTTTCAGCACAGAGGGCAAGTAGGAGAGAGGCATGTCTGTTGTCTAAAAAGGCAACACAGTTAAATCCACAGGACTTGGGTCATTTCCTCCAGACTAATTCGACCTGGTCTTTGGAAGGGCTCAGACTACTCCTGTCTCGTTCGTGAATCTCCATGAACCAGCCTTTTCCCCAGCGCCAGTATGTCAGTAGTAAAGGCTCTTCAATTTATACAGTAATCACAGCATGAATCTCCTCCTCCTGCACTGGTGTGCTTGACTGCTCCCCTGTCTAGTAAAAATGCATCTGAAGCTACCAGCCAGTCCAGGAGGGTATAATTTATGCTTCCCTGCTCCACACCTGTGCCCGGTGGGGGACTCAGGAGGGAGGCATGGCTCTGCAGAAGGCCCTGCTCTGGACGAGCCATGCGGAGCCGCGCCAGCGGAGACTGCTGGACAGATACGCTGGGAGCCCATGCGTGTCGCCCGACCCTGCTCCTTTCCAGTCAGAGCTGCCCCCTTTCAAGCCGGCCCCTTGCACTTCTCTCCCCACGCACGCACGCCCTGCTTATCTGAGCCAGCAATTACAAAACGCTTTGCTGTGGCTGACAGCCAGGATGAGAGGTGCCAGCCTTGCTGCGTCTCAAACATTTTCATGCAACATATAACAAACACTGAGGAAAATCTGGCTGCCTGGCAATGCAAGATCAAGCACTCTCGGACAAGCGGCACAAGCCTCAAGTGTGGAAAGCTGGTATTTGCACCAGCTGGCGTCTTGGGGCCTGAGCATCCAGGGCCACCTTCTTCCTTGCTGGTGACACAACTATGATGAGGCTTTCAATGCTCCTTCAAGAGCTTCCCCCTCCAGTCTGCTATTTCGGCAGCTTTTCCTTTTTTAAGGTGGTCATTCCTACCTTGTAATCCAACAGGACTGCTTTGAAATAGGGCTGGGGCTGGACTCCAGTCAAGGAGCCTGTGCCTGGAACGACTGAGCTGTGAAAAATGCCTCGGCTAAAGAAAAATAGGCAGAGCACTCAAAGTTTTTCCCCTCCTGGGGGAAAAGCAGCCATTTGGGGGTCCAGGGAAGAGTAAGCCCGCTGCACTGGACTGCAAGTCGGCTACATCAGTTTTGGGGAGCAAGGCTAGAGGCAAGGGGCAGGCTCCAGTCACCACCTCCATCGCTGGCCTGTGTGGTCTCTCCTTTGGGACAGACCAGCGAGCTGGCCAGGGTTTGCACATCTCGCTTGATGCCTCCCTCTACAAGGCTGCAAACTGCAGCTGTGCAGCAATTTGGAAGGTGCGATTCCTGGAGAGGGGTGGCAGGAGGGGACAGCTGGCAAACTGCCGGGCAGCCTTGTATTACACTGCGTAGCCCACCTCCCTCCCCCCCGAACTTGACTTGGAGCTAAGAGTTGGCTGATTTTCAGATGGTTTTCCACACAAAACCTCCCACTCTCAACCTCGGTTCTCCACCATCACCACCCCACTGGCTCACGTTGAAACTCAGCCAACCCACCGAAAGTTGGAGAAGTTGGGCTCTTAACGTCCTGCTCTTCCTAGGAGCAGCAGTTTAAAAGGTTACCGAGGATCTGTAATGTGAAATGAGCCCAAGGAAGACAAGAGAGTCTACAAAGAGCTTTGCAGGTCACTGGGCGAGCTAGAGGGACAC